TTTGTGGTGAGCTACAGTGTCATTGACACTTTCATTTAAATTAAAAGTAAGTACTAACGGGACTAAACGTATCGTCAAATTCTTACCTGATAAGATTGTTTCTCAACTAGTTAAAAATTCAAAAAACCTGTAGGCCTACGATTTGATATTATGTTCCTGACATTAACTGCTTGCTCCATGAGCCAGACCCCCAAATGTCATCAATTGGTACCACCTGGGATGGCAAATCCTCACTAAATTTTTTTGAAAGGCCTATGTCCATAGATGAAAAAAAAACCATGAAGCAAGCCGAGACTCACAGCCGAGGCGGGCGTGAGCCGAGTCGAGCCGAGTCAGTCGAGCCGAGACTGACAGCCGAGTCGGCACAAAGCCGAGCCGAGACTGACAGCCGAGTCGGCACAAAGCCGAGCCGAGACTCACAGCCGAGTCGGCACAAAGCCGAGCCGAGTGTAAAAATTGCCACTTGTGTATGGGCACTCGTGGTGGAGCGGCAGGCGCCAATTATGGGGTATGGGAAATACGTGCGTGTGTGTGTGTGTGTGTGTGTGTGTGCGTGCGTGTGTGTGTGCGTGTGCGTGTGCGTGTGCGTGTGCGTGTGCGTGGCGTGTGCGTGGCGTGTGCGTGGCGTGTGCGCGTGCGCGTGTGTGTTACCGAGGCAGTCAATGACCGAGAGATTGGCTTTAGCAATCAGCGTGCGATATGCGTGCCTCTGCTGCCCTGGCGCACACGGGTGAACCCTGCGCGATCGAAGGGATGAGAGAGGGACAGCCTCCTTTCCTGTGTTGACGCACCAGGGGCCGGATTGCCAGCTCACTGACCGACCCGTGAAGATGTATGTAGTCAAGTGTGTAGTACAGAGACAGCAGGGCCGCAGTGGTAACGGCGGTGGTGGCGGCCACTGGCAGTTCCAACAAACCATTAAAAATAAAAAGAATGTATAATAAATCTTATTGCACCACTAATAACTCTCCTATCTGCGGTAAACAGCAGTTGAACTCCTCGCTGCAAAAGAAAAGCCTAAGCTGCCTTCTTAATACGCTCTTGATAATACCGTAATAATTATGTGTGGGGAGTATACGCAGCTTAGTGCAGCGAGTCAGCATTCGCGCCGACGTTAGGCTTTTCTTTTGCAGTGAGGAGTTGTTTACCGCAGATAGGAGAGTTATTAGTGGTGCAATAAGATTTCTTACACATTATTTTTATTTTTACTGATTTGTTGGAACTGCCAGTGGTGTCGGCGGCGGCGGTGGTGGTAGTACTGCAGGGCCGTAGGCTGAGCAATACAAATCCCTGGGGGGGGGGGCAAAATTTCATGACTCAACTGTGCAATGATGAGGGACGGGCGCAGCTCTTGATCGACGTTCATAGTGTATAGTGTGGTATAGGGGTGGGGCTGAGACAAGGCTTTCACGGATAGGTGACCAAAAAAATTTAGGGTTACTTTAGGGTTATTTACGATTATTAGCAAAGCTGATTTTTTAATTTTGCTCCAAAATCTAGGGGGCAGCTCCCCCCCCCCGGAGGCTACGGCCCTGTAGTGGGGGCGGTGGCGATGGCAGCGCAGGCGGCGGCGGCGGCAGCGGCGGAAGGGAGCGAGGCCGCGGGCGGGCATGCAATCATTTTGAAATGAAATAAGAATCTCACGACAGCCAATACGAAATGCGGACCGACGAATACGAAACACGCACAGGACCATATATATTCATCTGCCAGCAAAAAATCGATGCAGAAAATGAGCAACTCGTGCTGGTGTCTCATCTATAACCAAGCGAATCCCCTCTCGCCTCCCCCCTTTCTCTCTCTGCCTCTCTCTCTCTCTCTCTCTCTCTCTCTCTCTCTCTCTCTCTCTCTCTCTCTCTCTCTCTCTCT